TTTTTTTTTTTGGTACAAAGAAGGAGGCCAAATGCCTTATAACTACGACCCTATAACTCGACATGGGTGAGCCACGCCACGGACATCGTGATCAATCCATGCTATAAGACCTTGGGGTGGTGACGGAAGTCGCTGAAGACCTAATGGATAAGAGGCCGCTATCGTCGCTAAATGGTCAACCGTAAAATTAGCTTCCCTATGCACGTGCTGGATCTAAACGCTCCATTCTTTTCCACTAAGCTTCGAATGGATCTAACAAAATCTCTACTTCAATTCACTATTTATCTTTACCATTAGCCACTATACCAAATCCAAGATCTTGAAGCCACTCGACTACGAGATTCATGCATAATAAATACTAACAAATGCATTGGGCCGAGGCCTATTGCCTTGGCGGAGATTACTCGGGCCTAGGTAGAGTCGAAAAATACTAATAAATTTATTTATATTTACAATCATGCATAACTTGCAAATTATATTTTTATAAAACATATTAATTAGTATAATTTAATACGGAGTTTTTAAAAATACTAAACACTTATAATTATTGTATTAGTTTTACGTAATTATTATATTTATTTCATAATTACAGTACATTTCATATATAAAAATCAAAATTTGTTTTTATTATATTTTGAAAAAATAAAAAATAAAAAACTTATAACTGTCTAGGTCGTCGTCTAGATTGCCTAGTCAGTCTATTCTGTCTAGGCGTGACTAACTTCACAACCGCCTATATCGTTTGGGCTCGGCCGAGCGCCTAGACAAAAATTGGAGTGCCTGGGTGCCGTCTAGCTTCTAAGCGCTGCTTAAGCGGGCGCCTAACTCGACTTTTAGTTCAATGATATATAGTAAATCCATTTTCATTTATATTGTTATCTTCCATATTAAACAATTAAGCAAACCAAAATGTTGAGAATACAAAGTCAGAAGAAGAAATAATAGTTGCGTATCAGATGAATAAGAATTAACTATGACAAGGATATTTCAACAAGATTTTTGTTTCCATTCAGGCGAGATGACTAGATTTGGGTAATTTCAAACAAATTTGGAGATTTTTAGGTACCAATTTTGAGACTTTCCTATAAACATAGAGAAAGAAAATTGAGAAATTGTGTGTTAATATTAATTCTTCTATATTTTCAATGTAGTAATTGGTTGAAAAAAAAAAAGACAGGAATTGAATATACAATATAACACATAATAAAAATTGTTTAAAACTACTGTCCCGTTACGGAATCATTCCGTTTGATCATCATTTAACTGTCAGTGATAGCTGATCTAACGGTTCAAATCCCGACAGAGTGGTTACATAACGAGACTGTAGCGTTTCCCTAAAATTAATGTTAATTGTTCTATATTAATTGTTCCATATTTTCAAAACTTGTTTAAAATATAGCCCATTAGATAAAATAGAGACAGTTTCTCCCAAAAGACATTAAATGGTAGATGACTCCATAAAAAAATCATCCGATGACTACATATAGGCCCCGTTTGAAAGATAGCGGATTGAAGATAAATTAGCGGATTGAACTTAATTGAGAGGTTTGACCCGTCAAATCTGCTATTGAGCATGTTTGGTAAATAACTTATTTGATAAGCTTTTGGGCCCAAAACTCTAATTTAGAAAAAAACTCATTAGAGCAGCTTTTTGGGATAGATGATTCACAAAAAATCATTTACTTGGAACCTTTTTATTTGTATTATTTATTTTACAATCTACATTGGTTTATGGTGCTAATAAATAATAATATGTCACCCATATGATTAATTTATCTAGAAAAATATAAAATTCATAACTTCTTCATCAAGTGTTAGTAAATTTTTAAAAATAATAATATATTTATAAATTACCAACTAAAAAATATCAAATGTTTTAATATATTATTATTAAAAGAATACACCCTAAATAATAAAATGTCATTATTGCTCATTTTGTAATGTCAAACAACTATAAGCTTTCAGTTATTTACCAAACACTTATTTAAAAACCGCTAATTCAATCCGCTGGTCAAATCAACTAATATAATCTGCTATCCACTATCCGCTGATAGCCGAACTAAGTCATAATTTTTGCAGAGCATGATTGATAACTTCCAAAATTATATTAATTTAAAAATAAAACATGATTGATAACTTCCAAAATTAAATTATAAAAAAAAATACTTCCAAAATTAAATTCTATCCTAATCCAACATCAATCCATCATGGCCCACCACTAAAATATCTGCACATGGAAATCTCATTATCCAAACACGGGACATCCATATAGTTAAAGACCACGCACCAAGTGATAATATAACTAATACGATACCATAGCGCATGCATGGCCCACAAATTATGAAAGTGCTACAATTCCGTTACGGAACCATTCTGTCAAAATTTATAACCGTTAGATTATCATGTAACTGTCTTGGATAGTTGATCTAACATTTACGAACTCCAACGAAATAGTTCCGTAACATGACCGTAATATGTCCTAAAGACAGAAAGGGAGATTAAAGAAAATAAAAAAAAAAAACAAGAAATTAAAGAAAATTGCAAACATACAAGCCAATATTACTCAAGCCAAGAACACAATCGTGTCCGAACTTAAAAGGGAAAATAAGAAAGGAGACTATCAAATTCCATCTCCTATAATAATCCTATTATTAGAGTATTGATTAAGAATCAATACACTGACCCTATAAAACCGGTCGGGTGAACTTTCTTGTTCCGACCAGCCGTCTTGCCGGTGTCCGGAGCCGCCGGTTTTTCCACATGAGCTTCGTTATTGGTATCAACCGAGGCGGCTCGCTCGAGTTGGGCTCTCTTGATAAGCCGCTCCTTTAGGCGCTTTTGCTGCACAAAAACCGAGGCATAGCTGGCTCCGGTTGAAGACATTTTCTCTCTAGAGATGGAGTTTTGGGACTGAGAGCAATAAAGCTCCGAAATAATTTTTATTATGTTGTTAGTGCTGCAGAAAGCGGTTTAAAACATTGATTTATTTATAAAATAATAGACGATAGGGGTCTTTATAATACAGCAGCAAAAGCGGTATAGTCTAGAACATAGATAATAAATGCGGCAAATGGGGTGTGACAAACTATAGGTTGTTGGATGATACCTTATATTTTTTATAAGCTAGTTGTACGTTCTTATTTGAATATTTATTTGTGAGTTGTGTTATGTCATTTATATAGAAAAAATATATCTAATTTATAAGATTGTTGCACTATTCCTTCTCTCACTAATTGATTTTGGGATGAAACTCCACTTGGGCTTTTCCTACTTATGGTGCGCTTCACGTGCGTGGTACCACATCTGTTTTCCCTTACGAGAGCCTGTTTCTAGTAAAGTTTGGGTTTTCTTATTAAGGACTCATAAGTGAGGGGCGTTAGAATCTTGGGTGGTACCACACCCGTTTTCCATTATGAGATTTTTTTTTAGTAAGGCTTAAGCTTTCTTATTAAGGACTCACAAGTGAGAGGCGTGTTAGAATATCAGTTGTGAGTTGTCCCACATCTTTATATAAAGAAAATAACATTAAATTATAAGTCTAATGGGCTATTCCTATTCATAACGTGTCAATTCTTGAGAGGAGGATGCCAAAGATCGTCGCCCACCAAGAAGATAAGGGTTGGTGCCAAGAATATACCATCGAAAATTTTGAGGTCATGAGGTCAGTTCGTGTTGGAAAAATTAAATTGTTATAAGGCGGATTAAGAACGAGTTTCAACGCATATACGTGTTAATAATATGAAAGAGAAACCACAAACACCAACCATATGAACGTGATATGAAACCAGATTTCTATTAGAAACAAATAAATTTATTATAAAAATAAATAACTTAACTGACAGTTCTATATACTGTCATAGAACACATATAGCCGAATGACAGAAAATCTGTTTGCCTTGAAGAAACAGACGCCCCGATACTGTGCAACGAGTACTACGTCTTTTCTCCTAGGATAAGACGGCTCAAAGTGTGAAGACTGCACTATCTAACACACTCACCTCAATCAGAATCTCAGTCGCCAAGAACCCTTAATTTTTCTTTAACTTGTAGAGGATGAAAAAGAGTATTTACATAAAGTATTCCTTTCTTTTCTTTTTTCACTTGATGTGTTCTCGTATGTCTCCCATGCACTATATATATAGTGCTTCAAATTCATCTTCATTGAATGCGTGGGAGATGCTTTAATGCTTTCATTAAGACAAGAGTAATGAACTTGAGTTTCATCTCACTTCTCATCTCATATTTCAAAACCGACCAAACATAATTCTCGGTTATGATTTTCAATGAATTGAGACATTTACAATAAGCACATCCATTTACATTAAACACATCCTTTTATCTAAGGATTCCACAATATATATTTTCTCTTTCTACATGTAACATTTATTACAACAATCCCCCACAAATCCTTAGATAATGATTATCAGGGTCATCATAAGTTGCTTTCAGTAATGGTACCTTCCGGTTTGAACCACTACCTATGTTATCCAACTTCTATCATCACCGAAATGAATGGATCTAAGCTTTGAATTCATGTCGTGAGTGTAATGATGTTCATTAGTAACAACAACTTATAGGCTATGTTCTGATCTAAGGGTTGACACATTAGGCCATATGTCACGATCCTGTTTCATGAATATCTTCAAGAAATAACCCTTTCCCCTAGTCGCGGCCAAACAACTATACTTTTTTTAGTTGGGCATCTCCAAAGATGCACTGCTTACATCTTGTTTAAAAAACTCGACCCCATTCAGAGATAAACTCTTACTATACTTGCAGTTAACAACACCTTCCAGGTATACTAGGGAAAGAACTCATCATACTTTATTATATATGAAGTATCATTCTTGTAATTTTAGGTGCACAATGATACATTCAACAGCTTGTTTATACCACATTGAACCTTCATTGTGGGATCTCTACTTGGAAGGTTGGGTTGCTACTGCAGATGCATCACATATGGGTTATTCAGTCCCATCTCTAACCTGGATTTTTGAACTAAGGATAGATCAAGTTCTTTAGTCAAAGGATCAGCCAAGTTGTCTTTAGAATTAACAAAGTCAATGGCCATAACCTTATCAGACACTAATTCCCTTATATACATTAGTCTAACTTGGATGTGTCTGTTTGTTTTTTGATTGAACTTTTGACTTTTTATTTTTGCAATTGTGGTTTGACTATCACAATGCACTGGTATCGGAGGTAAAGGCTTGCTTACAATGGGTAGTGCATCAACAACCCATACAACCATTCTGACTCCATTCCAGTCGTGTCCAATGCACATAACTCAGCCTCAAAAGTAGACCGTGTTACCAAAGTCTGTTTGGTAAACTTCCAGGAGACAGCGCCCCCACCCAAGGTAAACACATACCTTGTACATCCGTTAGTTCTGGAATTTTTAGCTATCCAGCTAGCATCACTATATCCATCAAGTACCCCAGGGAATTTGCTATAGTGTATAGCCAATGATATTGTACCTTTAAGATACCGAAGTACCCTATCCAAGGCTTCCCAGTGAGTTCTATTAGGACAACTTGTATATCTAGCTAACTTTGACACATAAATTGAAATATCTGGTCTCGTACCATTAGCTAAATATTGCAAGCTTCTAATAATTTGAGAATATCTCAATTGAGCCATAGAAACACCAATTTCATTTATGAAAAGAGCCACAAATGGATCATATGGAGTTTTAACAATTCTACAATCATTATAACCATATTTCTCAATTATTTTCTCAACATAATGAGATTGAGAAATGGCTATACCTTTAGTTGAACGAATCAACTTAAGGCCAAGAATTACATTTGCCTCTCCCATATCCTTCATTTCAAACTTACTCTTTAGAAATGATTTAGTCTCTTCAATTATTTCATAAGCAGATCCTATTAACAGTATCATATACGTGAAGACATAAGATTATACAATTATCACCTTTAACCTTAAAGTATATGCACTTATCATTATCATTTATCACAAAGCCAAATGATAAAATAGTTTTATCAAAATTTTCATGCCATTGTTTAGGTGCTTGTTTCAAACCATAAAGAGATTTAACAAGCTTGCAAACTTTATGCTCGTTACCAGGAGCTATACATCCCTCAGGCTAATCCATATATATTTCTTCATCAAGATCTCCATGTAAAAAGGCAGTTTCTACATCCATCTGATGAATACAGAGATTATACACATAAGCCAAGGCTATGAGCACACGGATAGTAGTTAAACGAGCAACATGTGAAGAGGTATCAAAGTAATCTATTCCTTCTTTCTGTTTAAAACCTTTGGCAACCAATCTGACTTTAAACTTATCAATGGTTCCATCAGATTTAAGTTTCTTTTTGAAAATCCATTTACAACCAATTGTATTACACCCCAGAGGTAGTTAACTAGCTCCCATGTCCCATTAGAGACAATAGAGTCAATCTCACTTTTGATAGCTACTTTCCAATGCTTAGCTTCTGGTGAATTCATAGCATCTTTGAAAGTTATTGGCTCGTCCTCGATATTGCAAGTGATAAAATCACTTCCAAAATCCGTCGTTTGCTCCGTTTGAGTTCATCCAATTCCGTTTGTAAAGAATTCGAACTACTTAGATTATCCCCCCACATTTGTCATCTTTTCCACATGTTCAGGAATTGATGATGATGTAAGGGCCACATCCAAGACATCATTGGGGTATTCCCGTTTTCATAGGAAAAACATCCTCAAAGAATGTAGCATCACGAAGTTCAACAATTGTGTTTACATCTATGCCAACAATTTCTGATTTAACAACCAAAAATCTAAGAGCATAACTAGTTTCCACATATCCCAAAAAGACCGCATCAATAGTTTTAGGTCCTAGCTTTTTCCTTTTGTGCTCAGGTACTAGAACTTTTGCAAGACAACCCCACACACGAAAGTACTTTAAGCTAGGATTCTTACCTTTCCATGATTCAAATGGAGTTATTTCATTGTGTTTCAGAGGGACTCTATTTAGAATATGGCAAGCCGTATTTAAAGCTTCTCCCCACATATATTTAGGCAATCTAGAATTCAACAAAAGACTATTGATCATATATGTAAATGTTCTGTTTTTTCGCTCTGCAACTCCATTAGACTGAGAAGAATATGGAGGAGTTTCTTCATAAAGTATGCCAAAATTTCGACAATATTCACCAACGAGGTTAGATTCATATTCTCCGTCTCTGTCTGATCTTAACCTTTTAAGTTTCTTACCAGTTTGTGTTTCAGCTTCATTTTTAAAAATAATAAATTTCTCAAGTGCTTCATCCTTATGTTTAATTAAAAAAACATAACTATACTTACGATAATCATTTATAAAGGTGATAAAGTATCTTTTAAGGTCTTTAGTCACAATACCATTGAAATCACAAATATCATGTGTACTAAATCAAGTAATTCAGAATACCTTTCGATCGAGTGATATGGCTTTCTTACTTGCTTTGCTTCAGCACATACTTGACATTTATGATTACGTTCAACATCATGTTTTGGAAATTAAGATTCATCATTCTCTTAATAGAATCATAATTTAAATGCCCAAAACGCTTATGCCATACAGAAGAACTTTCTATAACATTCATAACAACAGAATCTGCAAAATCAAATTTATTACCAGAACCAGCATAATCAACATGAATTTTAAATAGACCATCAGACAAATAGCCCTCGTCAATAAATAAATTATAATGTTGAATTACAACTTTATTCAATTTAAACGAAAGCTCGAAACCTTCTTGGACTAACATAGAACCACTAATAAAATTTCTCCGTATTGTAGGGACATGGTGTACCTCTGCAGAGATAAAATGCGCCCTGAAGGAAACTTCAAGTCCACGCATCCTACCCCAAACACCTTGGCCGTACTTGAGTTTCCC